ATTTAGTTAGAATCACTAATATCTCAATTTTTTCGAAAAATGCACTTATGCGCCTTGTCCTCCAAGGCCTCTCAATTAGCATTTGAATCTGGCAATTTGAGCCCTAAAACAAGACAGATTATAAACGTCTCTAAACCTAAAATCTACATAAAAACAGTCCGTTTATTACACGGTGGAACCATCGAATGTATTAAAAATAGAATGATGTAGTCACTATAATCTATATAGGAACAGTCGCCGTTTATTACAGGGTGGAACCATCGAATGTATCAAAAATCGAATGATGTAGTCACTACAATCGATGTAGGAACAGTCCGTTTATTACTGGGTGAACCATCGAATGTATCAAAAATCGAATGATGTAGTCACTACAATCGATGTAGGAACAGTCCGTTTATTACTGGGTGAACCATCGAATGTATCAAAAATCGAATGATGTTGTCACTACAATTGATATAGGAACAGTCCGTTTATTACGGGGTGAACCATCGAATGTATCAAAAATCGAATGATGTAGTCACTGAGTTAATCATACTATCGACTCTAAGTAAGTTTGACGGAGGATCGATTCGAACAATGGCTGCGGTATACATCATGAAACAACAGAATTAACGGCTTGAATGTTTCTCTGCGTGAATTGCAACCCTGTTAATCGGGTTTAAAAAGGTGTTCTTCATAGCTTCACCGCCAAATGCGCCTAAAACAAAAGGCGCCGCGCCCAAGTGGCGCCTAAAATTGTTTGCAGACTTCATTTCTGTTGCAACGTTACTCCTCGCAGAATTGCTCGGCTTTGAAAAAAAAAAAATATCCCAGAATGTCGACAGACTAGAGGAGGATTTCCTGAATTCCCCGGACTACACTGATCAAAATTCCCTGGTCTTTCACATCTACAATCAAAGCTGAGTATAAATTTAAGGCATTAATTTCACAGCAAATGACAGAAACATGGGAAATTTTTTTCTTTGGGTTTTCATCATTCGACTAACGATAATTGAAATTCCTTGTTGAAACTTACCGCTCTGTTCGTCTTTCAGGGAATGACTTAAGTACAGACCATTACTGCCGTGCTAAGGAAGAACGCTGTATAAGTACGGGCATTCCGCTGTTGCCAAATTTCCCCCCGACAAAATAGTTATTTTTGTAGAAAATTATGCATATTTTTCATTGAAAGTATCAAAAGTTTCAGATCAAATTGCGAGCAAAATTGTCAGAAAAGTTGAAGGAAAGATAAGTATTTAGAATTTTCCCAATAAATTTGTTTTTTTCGAGTTCGCTATGAACACGCTTTATACGCCGAAAATTATTGAAAGTAACTACTAACCAAGATACTCTGTTTTCCGATCCAATTCAAAATCCCTGTTCATAAGAAAAACTTGAGTTAAACACAAATTGAACGTCGGCAAACGGTCCAGCTGTTGCACGATGTTTACATTACACTTTGGAACTTTTCATTACATAGGACGGGAAGCGGCGAAACGCGACGATTGAAGCGCGCATAGCGGCGTATTCGCAATGCGTGAAGTATCCATGCAGTCTTGCAGGCACTAACAGCGCGCGCCGTGGAGTACGCGCAATGCGCGAAGTATCCATGCAGTTTTGCAGGCGCTAATGAGCTTTTCATGCCGACCACAATCTTGAGCAGCGTTTTCCAACTTGTGATTTTAAAGTTTTTTGCACAGGTACACTGCGAATGGACCATTTATCATTTACCGTGATAAAAAATTAAAAACTACACGAAATCCAACTGATTTTCTTCTCCTTATTTGCAACTGGTAATGGTTGGCAAAAAGCGGGAAAAGCAGGAAGAGAAATTGGGGGAGGAGAGATACCTCTAGAAAGGATAACGGACTGAATGAACTNNNNGGGGGGGGGGGGGGGGGGGGGTGGTGATGTGTAAGGGGTAGGGAACACGCCCAGCGTTAGATATCGTTACTACGCGTTATGCGAAACTCATTATTTTGTAATTCTGAATTTTTTTTTCGGTGTCGTTTTGGACATTGCCTTACTTTCCAACATTTTTCACAGTAAATACGTGATGACTTTTTCTCTCTCTCTTTCTCTTCACTGTTGAAAATTTCCGAAACGTCTCCCGAAAAATTCAAATCATCGATAAATCGTCGAAATTTCCTCCGAAATTTTTTCTTAGATGTTGTATAAAACAGAAATTTCCTCACTTTCCCAAACATGTCCTAATTTATCACACGACCCGTGAATGGGATGATTTTGGAGCACTACAGGCTGATTGTTGAGATTGATAGGCCAAGCCATAGACAAAGAAGACGAAAGGGATACGGAGGGATCCGGATCCTCCTGGTGGAAGTGGGTAGTTGCAATGGACAAAGGAGCTAAGAAATAGACTAAATAAAGGGAACCCACGAGAGAGCCTTTAATTAGTCCATCATTTATCCCTTCAGTCTAGAGGAAGCACCCACTTGAAGGAATAGGATGGCTCCATACTCCTTACGTCTCCTTTGTCTATGGATTTGTCTATGAATTTCAGGAATGAGCCGGCCGCTTGGTGAATGACTACTAAAAGCTGCTCCAGGGGGGGAGCACATGGAAGCGGCGCGTGGAGTCATGGCGCTCGGGGGACAAGGAACTTGGTTTGCGGCGAGGCGAGGCGAGCGCGAGGGTGCGAAGGGTACGGAGAGCGCACTCGGGCCAACTTGGAGAAGAAAAAATGAGAAAATTCTAGGAATCAGAGGGCCCGGGGCGAAGGCGGTCGGCCTCGCTTTCTCTGTCCGAAATTGGACGACCGTCGACCAGCCGCAGACGACCAGACGACCCGGTGAGGAGCCACCCGTACATTAGCCAGCACCGCCCGGGCCCCGAGTGCCCGAGTATACCCAGACCGACAACTTTCTTCATTATTTATTTCTTCTCCCCAATCAAAATCAAAAGAGAACCTTACTACTTAGTAGGCATTCGTCTTCGTCTTCTTCCTCATCACTTTAGACTACCGTGCACCTACTCTCCCGTCCTAAGAAAAAACCCCGTATGAGTCTTTAGATCTCCTATAAAACCTTTAAAAACAAACGAATTTACTCGTAGAATTGTCTTTATTTTTCTTCCAATTTTTCACACAAGTTTTTACGCGATTCAAAATAAAATATCTGAAAATTTAAAGGATAAATATGTACCCAACTCCTTAAAAGTAGATGTTTTATCCAGGGATATCGGGAAACCGTATCTCAATTGCGGTGTTCATAAATATCCGATCCTACTTATTTGTTTGTTTGTTTTTTTTTTTCTTAAATAAGCGAATCAACATTATTCCTTTAAGTTTTTTTTAGAATTTACTTGGCACAGAGAGGAAAATCGTGGAAGTAATTAAGAATTGACACTGAGTAGATCTCATCTTGATGAAAGCTTATTTTTTTTTTTTTGGTGGGCGGCACATCCTCTACTGCAAGTGTAGCAAGAAAGTTATAAAGTATGACTGGAAGTTTGGAGGTCGCAACTTTATTCGTATGATCATCAAAGTAAATGTTTCAATTTTGGCTTTTTTTTGTGTAAAAGGTATCCCACTCGTAAAAACGAGCAGAAATATATTTTACTATTAAATGATGAACCTACACCAAAATATGGATTTACTGATATTTGAACATGACACCATGACCATGGACCATGACTGATCAATGGTGGCTACTTAAATACACGGTTGCCACAGAAATTCGAGAATGAAATTTCCTGAAAGTTCCCAGATCACCCTGACTTATTTTGGTAAAATTCCCCGACATTTGACTGCACGTGTAAACTGCCACATCCAAACCTGAACTGAGGCATATTTCGTCTTTAAATGTTATTGGAAGCTTCTTAGTCATTCAGAAATAAGAAAAGACCAAAAATAAATGACAGTTCAAGGGAACACGTGAGTAAAAATATTTTTGGACTAATTAAAAGTAGTGTCGAGGGGAGGGGAATGATCCTGCAAATAATTTTGCCACATGTTGATAGGGAAAACAAAACCCACCAAAAAAACTATTCAAGAGGACTTTTCCCCCCTTTTTTTTTGTCAATGGTTCTTACCTAGGTTCTAGAAAAAGGCAACCTCAAATGCTTTGACCTGATTATTTTTCAATTTAAATTCTTATAAGCTTACTTATATACCTTTCATCACCTATTGAAAAGATAGGCTAGTAGAACTGAACGGGATTAGCCGATAGGCTATTTGAAAAAAAAAGAAAAAAGAAAATACAGCTGAAGCAAGGCTCATTACTGAATCTTCCTCTAAATGACCCAACTTTGCAATACCCTTCATTACCCATACGCATACTCTTCATCATGAAGATGTGGATTTCCCAGTTTGCTACAACCTTCCACATTTACTCTGAGGGTATAAATACATCATATACAAGTCTCACATTATACATGTGAACCCAAATATCACATTGATGAGCCCAGAATGATCTCTGCTCAACAAATTTGACCTGCCTAAGTAATTGGCGACGAGAATGGTGGCCATTTCCTTAGGATCCTTAGGGTTTACATATACAGTAAAACCTGGGAACATCTGGCCTGACCCATGATGGATAATTAGAAGCTTCAATGCCACAATTGCAGAGCATACTCTTCGTATGTTGAGACAAAAGTCAAGTATTGTTTAGGTTATCACTCATCAGTCGTGCCCTCTAACTGCATGTATTAGCCTGCTGAGTGATGCTGATTCGGAAGTAATCAGGAATTGACAATTGTCTCAACATACGATGAGTCCGCTCTACATATTACGTACGACCAACTTAAACTTGGCTTGAGTGCTTGAGGTATGCACTTAGGGGTCTTTGATTCTTGGATTTCGCATGTTTTTTCCTCGCAAAATCACTGCATTGCAAGAAACTTGGACTTTTGGCACTAATATACTGCACTGGTACTGTATGTATAAGTATAGTTGCTAAAACTAGGCCTGATGACCAAGGTTTTACTTTAGTTGAAAGAGCACAATAAGGAAGTGGGCTCGGGTCACTTCCAGAAGAGAAGAAGGAGAGAAAGGATTCACTCACCATTAGAAGATTTGAGATCTCTGTGAATTAAAGAAATGGGAGCTCCAGAGTGAAGATAATTCATTCCTCTTGCTATTTGAATTGCCCAGTCCACCAAAACATCTGGCCTGATCTTCCTGCCAGCAAGCACTCGATTTAACGATCCACCGCGAGCATATTCCATCACAAGACACAAATTTGGAGGCTTTAAACAAACCCCGATTAAAGATACGATATTTTCATGCTCCAACAGCCAAAATAACTTTGCTTCTTGCCGCACATTCTCCAACGTAGTTTCAATGTCACCATCATTATCATGTCTGGCAGCTTTCACTGCAACCTCTTGTTTTCGATAGAACCCACGATAAACTTTACCAAAACCACCAACACCAATGATTTCTTCAAGCTGGAGATCATTGAAATCGATTTCCGTTACTTGAACACCTCCAATCAAGTTGGAAACATTGTGGTTATGAATTATGTCGGTGTCTGTGACAAAATTGGCTGGGAAAATACCCACCTTATCGCCAATCTTTCCTGTCCACCAACCTTCATCTCCGGAGATCTTGTAATCTGTAGAGAGAACTTGAACTATTTCACCACGGTGCAAGCTGAGCTCGTCTTCACCTTGAGCCTGGTAGTCGTAGAGGGCTGTCCATAGGGACAGCGGAGGTCCCTGTCTGGACGGTCGGTCCAGAGTGCCATGGTAAATTAGACTATTGTCAGTCGTGGAGGTGGAAGGTGTGTCCGAATATGGATCTCTGCTGTGACCATTACTGCTCCCATAAGTGGACTTTACCTGTTCCATCGACATCAAAAGAGGCGGCATTCGTTGACTCTTGGATGGATGTTTAGTCCTCCGCGTAAGATATTAAACCATTCAATTCTCCTGTTCAACAGCTGGCAGTGAGCTGAGCAGCGCTGGAAGTATTTACTTTTTCCTACTCCACTAAACAAAGATAAACTTGCACTATTAACACTATCTGCCAAATTCATGGCAAACACACTGAGACACGGCTCGGCTCAAACTGTTTATAATCACAGATTGAAAAATGCCATCACCGCCCGAAGGAAAAAATTTCACTAAAATTATGATGACAATAAAATTGAAATTTAATTAAAATGGAAGGCAATAGTTTAGAATCAAATTAAAAACATTTTAGGATACCCAAATTGCAAAATAGTCTCAAGTCGCCATCTTGAATGAGTTCGGCAATGCAACCACAACAGTAAGCGCCAAAGTTTCGTGGAGAGACTCTGGAGGGAATTTTCTTGTAGTGGTTGGGAGTTTTTTGTCCTCTTCTTAAACGGTTTTCTGAAAATTTCCAGAGCGGTAATTTCAAAAATACCCCGCGACAGTGGGGCGCGCAATGGAGGAGGAAGTTATCAAATTCTTCCTTCCTCCTTAATTTTAAGGTATTTATGGAGAAAAACTATTTTGGTACTATAATTAAAGAGAATGAAAACTACCAAATGGGGAGGTCCAATTAATGTTCTTTTTCGCGATAGTATTAAAGAAAAATGAATTCTGCATAAAATTGTTAAAACCTTGTAAAACAAGGAAATGTGAGTGCAGTTATTTTGATGAGAATTATAATTTCATAAAAAATGTTCCCAGGCTAAGTAAAGGCCCCAGGCCCCTATTAAAGATTATCAAATATTTTCCTTACAACTGAGGAATATCCTATAAGAAATATCATGATGGAATGTTGGAATGCAATGTTCATCAAGGGAAGTACCTACTTACATTTGACAGAAGGGAACAAACTCGATTACAGTGTTCCAAAAATGTTTCAGCTGCTTCTATGCCTTCAAAAACAGTAAGTGTATTTACAAGAATAAAATTCACATAGACGTATGCCATTATTAATGTGAATTTTTTGGTGGAAGCCATGCATTTGCTATTCTGGCCTTTTTTAGATACTGAAGTATGAATGTGCACGATTTTTACTACTCTGAGCAGAGCACAAACAACCAACCATGGTGGGATCCAACTCAATAGTTGATTTCCACCTGTTAACTGCAATCCAAGTGATGGTTTTGCAAAAACTGAACAATCTACACCTGCTCATTAACCTCGATAGCCACGTTTAAAACTGAGGCAAATGAGCCTTCCACACGTTTCTCAACTTCAAATTGATGGCCAAAATGCGAAACCTTGCACCTCTGATTGAGACGCTGCAGACGTCTTATCATACTTTATTTCTTTTTTGGAGAGCTATTGAACGTAATTTCTTGAAAACTTTCTTGATTTTTCTTATCTGTTAGCTGAATATTTCATATAAATTTCAAGGCATCAAGTTAATTTGTTTCTCTGCAAAAAAATTAAAGAGCACTCCGAAATTTTAAAACACCGGAATGAGATACGTGGTTTTTTACTTTGACCATCAAAATGCTATAAACTTTCAAGTTCCAAAATGTCACTGGACTTTTTCGTTACCCTCGATACCCTTCGATACCCATCTATGAACCACGATCAGGAATCACTACAAATAATGAGGAGAAAGGACTTCTGAGATTTTGACTACCTAATATAATAATATAGCAGAGTCTCCTTCCTCTTGATAATAGAAGCCTCCAATGAATAAAGGAGGATGGAAAACATTACAATTTTGAGAAAAATAACTTGAAAATTAGAGAGTTAATTGCAATATTCAGTCTTACTATGGCTCATCAAAAGCTCAAGGCTATGTAGCGAAGTAAAAAACAAGTTTTCAGGGTCATCTTTTGAAGTTTTTAAGACCCAATTTATGTTAAAAATCATCAACATTTTTTAGGAACTTTCATTTATCTCCAAATAGTAAGAGCATCAAACTACAGATAAGATGTTTCTATGAAAGAATAGCTGGTCCTAGTTTCACAAATAAAATGAACGTCTCAAGTGAGATTAAAATTTTATTGATTCCTCAACAATGTATTTCTTTCAAACAAGTTCATGGTCGAATGGAAATAAATAGATCAACTTCATCCGGCAGCATAAAATTGTATTTAAACTCTGGTAACGTCTACAACACAATAAGTATAAATGAAATTAAAGGAATTTGAGTTTCATAAGAGAAATAAAATGTGTCCTAGTAAATTATTTGTACAAAACTTGGAAGAGAAATATTAAAAAAGAAACTAAGATACAAAGAAATAGTATCATTAAAAAATAAAATATAAATAAATCCCTTAAAAATAAGGCTGCCTGAAACCTTCACTCGTTCCACACAGGCATACTTAAATGTTGGCAGTGAAACTACCAGACCTTGTACCTATCTCGGTTTGCAACAATGCAGAATATCTGTCATACTTTATTTTTTAAACTGAAAATGACTCAATTTCAATTCTTGAAAAATGCCATGATTTTTCTTCCCTGTCCAAAAAAAAAAAAACTCTGTGAAAACTTCAAGGAATGATATTGCTTTGTCCTCCTTCAAAAAAAATGAAATGGGAGCGAAGATTTGTAAACACCACAAACAAGATACAAGGTTTGGTAGTTTCAGTGTCGATATGAATGGCCAAAGTGTAAAACCATGTACGTCCATTTGCAATATTTCAAAATGTCCGCTATTTTACTCTTTCTGAGAGGAACAAGCCAACTTTATAACTTGAAGTTTACACTGAATATTCTGCTAACAGAACAGAAAAATTAAGGTAGGTTTAACCTACCTTAATACTGTAGCCTTGTAACCTACTAGGTTACAAGACATTAAGTTGACTAGTTTTTGAAGGAAAAAATAAAATATAACAGGAAGTCTGCAATGTCACAAACGGAGAAACATAGTTTCGCTTGGCCATTGATACATGTGATATCGATGAAGTTTCTGATAAAAAATGGTTGCATGATGATCGCTAACTACGTTGCAAAATCAGTTTCATTACAATATTACATCCGAAGAGACTAGACTTAAAAACAGAAAGATGGCAAGGATGAGCATGCTCAATTTTTGTTAACAACAGGAAGAAAGACATTGGAAATTACTATTAGTAAAAATAGAGGGTACTTATAACTATTACAGTTCAGTCTTATGGTTTCCAAATGAGAGAGTGAAAATACTAGCATGGCCATTGACAATGTCGTACCCATGTGTACAAATCACCAGTATTGATTTTCATGATGGCTGTGTAAATTGTTTCCTGGAAAAAGTTATGGAGTCAAATTAGTGAAAAAGGCAAAAGTGGGAGATGAACATTTCAGAATTCGCCCTGAATAAGTTAGCAGACATTTTAAGTTGTCAGGAAGATTTATATGAAGATGGGTCAATTTAGTAAGAAATTGCTTGATTTTTTTCAAAGAGACATCTGCTGATGAGCAACACCTACAATTAATTTTAAAATTTACTTTGAAGTTCTTATTTTTTCTTGCAAAGGTAAAATTTAAAATTAAATTGAAGATAATTAGGCATTATGAAACATTCTAGTTTTTTTCAAATGAAATTTTAGTGTTCAGATAATGTTTTTTCTCTGAGTTCCCTTGGATTTCTTCAACTATTTTTCTGCCTTTCACCCAAATTTCTCCTAACAGTCGAGGAAAGTAAAGGTGAAAGGAAATTGGAACAACAAAAAATTTTTTGCTTTCTTCATGATATTTTTTTAATAAAATCCTGCGCTTATTTGTTCTGATGTTCTGACTCCGTAGATACCCTAATTTGGACACTCTGGCTTCTTCTTTGTCATTTATTCCCATTTAAAAATAAATTTTTTATCGCTGCTATTACCTGTTTACTATTTAGGCTTTCCTTACATGATTAAAGTATAATAAACAAACTGGAATATTAAGAATGCCACTACCACCGGCTTGGGTTGTAAACTCATACTATCATTGATCTCAATTTAAGTCATATGTTTGTTAATTGAGTGACAAAATACTCAAACTTACTGGACTTGATTAGAGATTTCCAGGAAATCAGTTTAAAATGCCAACTTACATGGTTGAGAACAGGTACAGTGGAGAGAACACGGAACAATGTTGATGTGGTGTTCTTATTCCCGATGCTGTCGGCACAACGAACGACAGGTGTCACCCGGTCGTCGAACAATGGCGGTGGCTTCCAGTGATCATAATTTGTTTGAACAAGGTACCAGTCCCCATCTTGATTGGCATATCTCGACCCAAAATTCCACACGTCGTAGCCACGGCGATCGCGAGTAATAACCGATGCCTGTGACACAGAGACAATCGTCAAGAAAAGGCCAAGACTTCTGCTTATATTCGAGAACACAATTTATACAACTTCACCTCCATTCTTTACATATAAGTTTACATGCTGCTCATCCAGCACTCCTAAAAATAACATTACAAAAATATTGCTGCAACATCAATGGAGCTCTTGTATGCATCAGGAAGATTTTGCAAAAAGCATGATGATGCCATCGATTTTTTTTGAGACTAGGTCTCAAACTCAAAAAAAGCTCTCAAAGTTGAGGCCGTGATAAAGAGGTTCCAACCCGTAGTTCCAGCCTTGTGGTTCCCCAAAAAAATTGCAACTCTGCGTTATGTATATAAGGACTTAAATGTGACAATAGCAGTCGCTGACGTCCGCCATTTTTAGGAAAAACGCTTTTTTCGAATTCTGGAGCCCTCAAGAATGCCTGTGCAAAGTTTCAGACTTATAGCGCAATTTTTCGGCAAGATATGAACTGAAAACCATGTTATTTGTGAAAACAGCGGATTTGAGAATCCACTGTTTTCCCTGGCCAACGCAGCAGGACACCTGTGGAGATTTGAACGCACTTGTGATAACTACCTGCACACCGGCCATGGGCTGCAACTGACTCTCAAATGATACGTATCGGGACCGTCTCGCCAGAATTGTTGATTTTTTAACTGATTTTATAATTTGTTCCTTATTTTTGTTGTAGAAGTTACAAACGGTTTAGTTTTTTGTTCAATTTTATTAAATGACTCAGCATTGACTTACTTTTGGTTCATTTCAATCGTTTCACCAGCCTTACTCTTCCTAAAGACTTTGTTTCACACATAATAAAATGTTCTCAATAAAAATAGCGGATGTGGCATTTTTTCCAAATCGCTGTTACTGTTTCAATTTTTCTTTTACATCAATCGTGAAACGCGGGTTTTTTACAGGAAAATTTTTATACGAATCCTCTGAGTTCTACAGGCGGCAAAATGCAAAGCTTCAAAAACTTCAAACGCAATTTTTTCACAATGTGAAAACTCAACATCCGCTATCCTAACATATAAGTCTTCATTTGCTCCCTATCCGTGCATGGAGAGATTGAGAGGGTTTATAGAGGTGGACTCTCAGTGTAGCTTAGGAGATACCCTCCAATACTGTCTCAACTTTTTTTGAGCTTGGAAAATGATTTCAGAGAATCTTGATGGCACCATTGTCTTTCTTCAAAATTTTAGATATGAATATTTAAAAACTAGGTTTAACATTGTCCAGCCTTCATCAAAGTTTAGGCTATCAACTGTCCTCCAGCTTTTTGAAGACTAAAGAACAAAAAGACTAAAAGACTAAAGAATTTTGATGTAATTTTTAGTAATTTTGATTTATCATATTTGCTGCATTCTACAATATAAAGTTGGCAAGTTGATATTTGTAGTTGTTTCCAATTCCACATGGAAACACTGTAATGCATAAAATAATTGCAAATCCAACCTTGAAATCACATAATGGCAGAGCTTTTCTTTGTTGTGACGAATTGTCAGTTTGCAGATAGGTGGTACTGTTCCTTAACCATCGTTCTGTATTTCAAAGGAAAAATCCTTAAATTTTTTCAAACTCTAAAAAAGTTTAGATGATTGCGACAAACCTGTTTGGAATTATTACTCGATAAGATGAAGTACACTGGAGCAAGCAATTTTGGTTTTTCTAGCATTTCCATAGCTTCTTCATAAGAAGTTGCCTCTTCCAATACTTGCCGCGTGAGGAATCCTACCCAATTCTGTTTACGAATGCCCATAATCCACTCTAAGAGGCCCACATATCCACCAAGAACCCGGAATCTTTCGTTGATTGATAGACTAAATTGACCCTGAAACAGGGGTGAGCAAAAACTTAAGTTTGAATTAATGAAAAAATGATTAATCAATATGTAGATTGTAGAATAATTAAATCACATCTTCAACCTCAACCTAACAATGCCAAGTATATTTGTTATTTGTAACACAAGACGGAGACATTTTGTTATAAGATTTGGCTTGAAAATTCTCATGAAGACAATCATTGTTACCAGAAAGAATACATCAAATATTGACAATGTAGCTGCCAAACAACACATATTCATCTGCAACGTTACTGACTCCTGTCATAATTTATTTTATTATCTACTCAACGTAAATTTTTAATAACTTGTGTGACTTTCCTTCTTTGCACAAAGCAAATTCTGAAATAATTTCAAGGAATGATGTTGATTCTTTCTCCTTTGAAAAATTATGATAGGAATAGAGCTTATTACTAAGCGTCGTTTAAGAGTTTCACCGTAGATATATTAGTGCCTGGGTGAGTTGTGTTACCATCCTATCTTTGGACGGTAGTTTCCCTCTGATTAAGTAAGTTCATTTTAATCTACTCAAACATATAATTTAATTTTATTTTGGTTTGAATAATTAAAAATAATAAAATAGGAGCGTTTTAATGGCCACTGTTAATTCTTCATTAAAGAAGGGTACAGTGAAAAATAACAATTTTCGTCTTTGGCATTCTTGAATGATGTTTGAGACGGCTAGGAAGTGTAGGAGGAAACCAATTTCAGCCAAACAGAATCATATGGCTACGTAAGACAACCAGGGAAATAACCACAAGAGCTTGATTTAGAATAAAGTCATTAGGGATCGTAGGTACCTATTTATAATCGTTTTTTAAACATTAAGGTTTCTTACACCATAGGAATCGATTGGTTACAGAGGCCTTTATATTTAAGGAACAACTATGAATACGACTCTAAATGCTGTGACACTAATTTATTGTGTTCTAACTAGGATGACACCCATAACTTCTCAACATGAAAGAATAAAAAAAGATCTGAGCATGAATGAAAAGGACAAAGGAGCCAAAAATAGCATATCTTTAAAAAGTGTGGGTGACTAGAAAAGAATTACTTTTGCAGTGAAAATTGCGGCTACTGAAAATATAGATGTAGATAATTTTTTTGAGCATACTAGATTTCATGAAAATACACACACTTTTTTCATTTGCATGGAGGAAATACCAAAACACAGATAATTTTTTGGAGTGAGATATGTTGGACACGCAGTGCAAAATCACCCTAGCTCTTGGTCTCTAATGGTGAGTGAGAATATGGTAAGCATGAAAGAACTTAAAAAGTACTGGTTTTATTCCCTGAGGCTAGAAAGTATTAGCTCTTACTTTTTTAACACCGGTTAATATGCCAATGTAACCAGCAAAGTTGACAGATGAGAAAAGAACTCTTTTATCTTTCATGAAGTCAATTTTTACAGTCATATTCCGGAGATGTTGAGAGGACACCCAAGATTTGTTTTCCCTGTCCCACCTGCAAAAAAGAGAGGAAAAAAGAGTTAGTGGTAAAAATCAAATGTGAAAGGTTAAACATTGGAATAAGAGTAACAGAATAAAACCCGACTTCGGACAAAACAATTGATTTTTGCTTCCTTGGATTGAAAAAGGAAAACAGCAGTCAAACTTGTAGACAAAAAAATCGTCTCAAGTATCCAACTCTGAATACAAGACTCAAGTTAAGGACAAGTCTAAAGAGAAAACTGAAATATTCAGTGCCAGAAAACTGGGGGTGAAAATTTTTGCACAAACAGAAAAATGGAAATATTTGTTGAATAAGTCAATCTGAAAAATTCCAGTGTGTTCGCAACACCAACTGATCACATGATCCCTAATTTATACCTGAATACTCATAAACTAGTTCACTCTGGACCATAAATATGATTTCGGTCTTGCTCCGTACAACCACCCGTCTTTATTAGATATGTAGTATCAGTTGCTCATGTGATCCAATTCAAACACAAAGTAGTTTCGTAATACATTGCACTTATATTGAAAAAAAAAACAAAAAAAAAACATGAGTGTGAATTTTTTCCTGATACCTAACTCCATACATATTAAAATCCAAGGATGATTTTTTATGCAATTTTGAGGGGACGAGAAAAATCCCTTTAAATATTACGATAACACAAATGTTAATTTGGACATTACTACGCAAAGGAAATTCATCTATGGAGTCAGTTTTAAAAATATATGCATCTTGATTTAGCTTTGCGGATTATAGTCAAGATACTTACAATTGCTTTAAAAAATCTCTGATGTAGACCATAAAATAGTAAAGCAAGTCTTTGCAGACCATGAAATTGTTTAAAATAAGTCAAGCTGAGTCTGAGTGAAAATGGCAATTTTTTTTGGCTTTTCAGTTACATGATTTTGTTACTTGGCTGACTAAAGAGCATAACTACATATAGAGATGAACCTGGGAAAGCCTTGAGTTATGTGGACGACGGGGTATCGAGGTGTGGTCACACCCTTATGTCAGGAGGCTAACGTTTTGTTTAGCCAAACTTTTTACTGCATTTGTTTCCAAGTATGATCAAACTTTAATTTGACATGATGCTGAATTTACTGCATAATGTTTACATTTTTCACGCTTCTTGAGAAATAAACTTGAAATTTTACAATTATCAATCCTTAACTCAGCAGTAGAACTGCAGTTCTATAAAACTTAGATACACAATATGTAAACTTAATTAAAATGGTGCTTAGATAACCGTTATTAATATTTTATACCTTCCTTAGGAAAGAGGAAAGTGAATCTTGCTACTAGGGTGAGACCTAGCGTATGTACTTAGAATTCATCTTAAAAGATCAACATAATTTTTAATTTTTAAGCAGAAAATTTGTATTCCCCAGAAGATACTGGCTAGCAATCCCTTTCGTTGTTGAAATTTTTTATCAGGGCGAGGCTGGTGAAATTCTTAAAATATTTAGATAACTGGTTTTTTCACTTGTAATTTTTAGATTCCCATTTTTTTCTTTAATAATTTTCAGATTGCAGTTTACCATGAGCAAAAAATTCTGGCAAATAAGACTGTATTTAAAAAATAGATGGACAAATCAAATCATCTTACGACATATAGGTTGTAAAATCAAGGTTTCGGCCATGATACATTGTTCCATCTTTCCCTTCCATGACGACTGACGTACACAGAGAGAAGAACTCATAGAAAATGTTGAACAAGACAACATCCCCTACTTCCATTTCAGCTGTTTCAGCAATGCCTCTCATTTCCTTTTGGTAGATTGGTGGTAAAGATGGAAGCAACTTTGGTAAATACTTCTCTACGACTCGGAAGACTTTCTTCCCGAAAATTCGATCAGTATTGTTTCTGATAAACTGAAGGAACAGTTCCATCTAAAAATAAAACAAGTACAGTAAGTATTATGAGGAAAAATTATTACAGTGTGAAATCGGGTGCTGAAAAGGGTAGGGTTCATTGACTTTAGTTCAAAATCAAGCAGAATAATAGAAGGAATAATTTGAAGGAATCCACAAAGGCCTGTCATAATTTTTCCTTGCAAGGTTTAACTTTCTCCTCTTTACATTAACAGTCTGGTCTAGGCATCAGAATAATTTTAAGATGAATGAGTAAAATGTTTGTACCCTTTACTGCAATTTTTGAAAGTTTATGTAATTTTTTTTTCAAAATATCCATACTATTGAAGAGTCAGTAGCAAAATTTGGAGGAGAAATTTTCGATGTTACATATTTCATGTGTGAAATAAATACTCCCAAATCTTAAAAAATTGAACCAAATTTTACAAAAGACATAGTCTTAATTTTAATTGTCTGCCGGATATCCAATTGCTTACAGAATCAATGTCTCCAAAAAATAAGTTTGAAATCGTCACCTCAACTGATGAGTACCTCTGTTTTTTTGGCTGTTACAACTTCTTTCCATCGCTGCTTTGGGGGAAGATCCAAGTCAACTTTGAAACTAGGGATACTTAACCTGAAATGAAAAAATTATAAAATATCTCAGAGAATGAAAAAATTAATAAAAACTATGCTATTCAGACAGAGAGATACAAAACCTTCAACATTTATGCTTAGCAATTAATCTACCATTTAAACCGATGGAAAAGGATCAATTATAAATATGTTTGCAATGAACACTTCAATAATCAATTATTTACCATTGCTTCAAATAAAGAGATATTGATAGCCAATTATTAACGCTTGATCACTGTCAATAAGGCATAGTTTTCACCAGTTTTGTTAATAAATGGACCGGGGGTTAATGGCGCAACCTTCCACATTCTTTGTGACACCGACTGCTACTCTAAATATGCTTAATTGAAAGATGTCTCCCCAAAAAATTATATCTCATCTAAAACTTTCCTTCACTTTTGGTTTCTGTCCCCACACCCTTACCATGTGCACTATCACAGCAAGGTTTCCACAGAATTTGGAAAATGAAATTCCTAGACATTTTCGTAAAATTCCCACAAATTCCCCACAATTGAAGATAAGCCAGATGGTTAAAAATACATGAAATGAAATGGTTTTCAAGCAAAATTTGTTGTTTGAAAAGTCAAACCCATTTTAAAAAGCAATTTTTTCCTGACACTTTCGTCATTTTCCCCAACATTTCCCAGCATTCCCTGATTGTGGCAACTCTGAGTACAAATAAAAGGAGGAAATATCTTGTAATTGAATACTTACGGTCCATGTATTGGAGGTACAGGCTCATTTGAACATTCTTGATGAAACTAAAAAAAAAAAAAAATATTATATAATAGTTAAGAACATGCAGAATGAATCAACTTTGTTTTAATTCATCGGTAGTGGGTGGAAGGCAGAAGGTGCACTTATGGTTGGACACAACTTTTGAAAAGGAGCGAAAATTAGACAGAAAAAATGAAAAGAAAGGATAATTTTTCATCACTTAATAGTCCCCATGGCTTTTATTGTTTGGCTTCGATGATTCAACAGGAAAATTTAACAGTTGACCAGGCACACTAACTACATGCACTGCACGCCAAGGGGCCTATGCCAAGATGATTTTTTTACGAACACATACCAGATCAAACAAGGATAAAAATTTAGTAGTTAGCAAAGTGACATGAATTAGCATTGGACACGATTCTCTCATATTAGACGAGAAAGACTAATGGCGTTTTTTCCTCCAAGAAATATAAACTGCTGATGCTATTAGTGCCACTATTTGTGATCGAATCTTTGAAAAGGAACCTTATCATTCGGGAGAAATATTTCAAGAGCGATTTTGAAACTGGCGATTTCGAACACTCCACAGGAGACACTCTCTAGAAGCCTTTGAAACAATCCAGATGGTTGAATTTTCTCACCACAGAAGGCATCAGCTCCTCCTTTGTTGTGCTCATATCAGAATTCTGAAAAAGGACCTGAACTATCCCCTGTAATTTTAAAGTTAGCCTAAAACTTAATAAATTACGTCTTAGAACTTCCAGAAATCAAATCACCTTCAATTTTTGAGCCTTCAAGTTCAAATTAACGAAAAAGTTTCTAGATTTTCTTGCTCTTTGCAGTGGTATCAATGACTCAAAGAATTTTCTGAAAATTAGTTCCTTGTTACAGATATGATCACATTTGCATACAATTCTGGGATTTGATTAACAATACTAGTACACGAGACAAAAGGAGACTTTACGAGTTTTACCTGTGGGAATTTGCTCTCTTCCGGCAGGAGATCCCTTCCTGACAGATGTGGCGGTAAGATGACATTTGATGTCAGGGAATTTGACAGGAGTGTTTGATCATCATTATATTTTTGAAATTTTTTACATTCTCCTTGAAATATCACAGATGTGCATGAACATACTAGTATTATTAAATATAAATTCTGGACAGCCATTGTTGGTAAGATCAGCACTTCATTACTGGAAAGAAAAAAAAGCAAAATTTTAATCATAAAGTTTTCAGACCAACACAGGTATTACTAGGGGGAAACAAAGCTTCAGATACATGGGAAAACTACAATTTCGATGGACAAAGAGCGGAACCACGTATAATCCATTTGCGACATTGCATACTCCCTGTCATACTTGAATTTTTCTGGGGAAAATGAGTCGTAACTTGAAAACTTAATTTATTTCTTCTCTCTGACAGCAGTCAGTCTGTTGTATAAATTTTAAGCAATAGAAGTCTGCTTGTGGGTGGATTTACGATAACTGGAATAGTTTTGTCACCGTAACAGACAACACATTTTTTGGTCATATTTTTAGTGGTAATGATACATACTTAATCACTCCAATTATTTGTCATTCATATTTTAAAGGGTTACGTGTTATAAGGCTTTTCAAAGATTTATCGCTCTACTTCTCAATTTTAATATAAAAATGGCCGAAAATGTGCTCTCTGTTACGCTGACTTTTTACCGCGTAATAGACAGCATATTTTCGGAATGTACATAAGTAATATTAATTGAGAAGTAGAGCAATAAATCACTAGAAAGCGTTATAATACGTAACTCTTCATGAATGCGAAAAAATTCGAGTGATTAGGTATCATTTCTACTAAAAATATGACCGAAAAACGTGTTGTCTGTTACGGCGACAAAACTATTCCAGTTATCGTAAAACCACCCTTGATCTTCAAAGTTTGGTACAACGCAACGGAGATACGCGGTTCTGCACTTCGGCCATCCATATACTTTGAAACCAGTCAACTAATACCAAATTGCCAAAGGGCATTTCATGAGCACTCACATAATTTTATAACATTTCAGACCTTTGGTAGACATTAACCCCCCCCCCCCTCCTTTTTCTTCTTTGGTTTCATAGACAAACTTTGTCGAACGTTTTCTGGTGAAAATATGAATGAATTCCTCGGAAAGATGAAATAATTTCGTTGGAATTTACGACGTATTTAAATGGGACTGAGCAATTAATGCTGGCAGAGGAAGGAGAACAATGAGGTGGGAGATAGGATGGAGTTGAGGATTAGTTACAGGTCTGACACGCCTTTTTAACATAAGAGAGTGTACACGATCTCATCAGTTTTTGGGTACGTCCTCACTTCTTTTTTATTCAATCAAGGATAGAGCTTTTGAGTACCTACTTTACGCTCGAAAATTCAAAGAGAAGCGCAAGAGATAAGAGATTTTATTTGCAGTATTAGTCAGGTCGCTTTTGTTTGTGGTCGTTAGCATTTATCAGTCTAATAAAACTTTCCGTTCGCATAACACGAAAAACAATACAAGTCAATTTGGCTACTAGACAGGAACTTTTTCGTTCGGCAAGTTTACGTAGAACCGGGTTCAGACGGTCAAACGTTTCGTCATGGTTTGTCGAACTGCGCTGTTTCGTAGAACTATGTAGTCTAATAAGCTAGGTAAAGTCTGATTCGTCTAACTACTGCGAGCGTGGATACACGCTCAAATTTCGGTCAATTTCCAATCAAAATTATGACAAAAATGGCGGTCGAGAGTTAGGTATCTAAATTGGTATCTATATAAAATCATGAGTGGCGGTAGCCACCACCGGGCAAGTAACCTATCCTCCAACAATTGGCAACACAGCACAGTCCGGTCGAGGCAACGACACCATAGTTACACGAACTTGGCTTATTTGGGTTTTTAGTTGCGGTTCAGTAAACTTTTCAAAGCAACGGAGCGACGGATTTCAGAAATTTTGGTGTCTAAAGATGCGTCTCGGTCCCGTCTAACAGACTGTTGAGTTTCAAGGAGGTTGATGATTTATNGGGCTGCCAGCCTGTCTGTGACCTCCTGGAGATTTTGTTAAATAGGTAAATGTGTAAACGACTAAGAGTTCCGTTCTTTGGTCCGCTTGGGGTACTCTATGACAGAAATGGAAACTGTCGTAGTGTGATATTTTCTTTTTCCACTGAAGAGGGGAACAAAGAAGAGCTTTTGGAGGTTTTTGGCAAGAGGATGGTGACTTGCCCGGAGTCTCTTTACCCAAGTTTTTGGGTTTTTTGGAGTTTTAATTAAAACAGCGAGTTGATTGAAATATAAGCATGAAATAAGCAGGGTTTTGTGGGAATCAGATGACGGATGAACCCCACAGTTACATTGTTCACCATCAAATTTGCGCAGGCCACAAAAAATTGATGGTAGATGGTGCGCACCAGTCACCATTTGATCGGAAATTGATGGTTAGAGCGTGCATCCAGGCCTTTTTTTAGAAGCTGCAACCGCTGGCTCGGTTTTTAGACAAAGAATGTGCCATTAGTTTCCCTATGCACGTAATAGTTTTTCCCAATGAGCAAGAAACTGTAGTTCCTGCTTGCAAAATGGAGTCCGATTAATTTTCTGTTAAAATTCTGATTACAATTCTGTGGCAGCAATTTTAGGCAAATTTAGGGGGCGGCAAATTTTGCAATTTTTTTAAATATAGGTAGAAAAAAAATCGGATTCAGAAAAAAAAATTGGCAATGAGGAAATGGGACAAAATCTCTCTTTCCTGAGAGTATAGTAATTTCTAATTTTATCGTTTTTCGGTGATAAAAGAGAGTCGAGTTAAGAGAGGAACTAAACACTCAATTTGGCCTGGAGCTCAGCGCAGAGAGGAATGATGATGAGGACTTGGGATGAAAAGGACTGCGGTCAACATGTAACACATATTAGCGCCTACAAGACTGCATGAATACTTCACGCATTGCGTCAAACACAGTGCGCCGCGCCGGTCAGGAGCAGTTGGCGTGAAACGCGTAGCGTCTACAAGACTGCTGGAATACTTCACGCAGTGCGCCAAACACAGTGCGATCAGCCCGGCGAAGCGGCGGAAGTTAAAATTATTAAACCACATTTATGTTTGTTCTTTCAATTTGTTGGTTCATATCTCATAAAAGGAGGACCTTGTTCACGCAGAGATATGTTCACGGATTATCTTTCGCGCTAAGTTCCGTGAAATTTTCCTAGTAGTGTTGACAGGGCTTTCGCAAAAAATGTACTCAAGACGAGTAGGTAAACGCGTCTTATGCACCCCTCCCCCTCCGGCACGTTCACTTGATGGTTTTTATTGATGTTTCAAAACGAATGAGAAGGGGGCGGAAAAAAACAGGCGGCCCATGGGCGGCAAGAAGGTAAATCCGGCCCTGATCTACCTAGCTCTAACTCATTATTGAAAATCTCCGCGGGTGAAATTAGGCACGAATGGGTCCTGCTTACGTTTTGATGACAGTTGGACGATGAAAAAAAAAAATGAAAATAAAATACCAACAACAGAAATTTTTCCTTCTCGCTCACTTGAGGAGCCTCAAGGTGAGAGCAGAGGAAACGTTTTTCGCCGTGCAAAAAATGGGAAACGCCTCCGATCTTCCGAGCCTGATGCTAGTTTTTTATGCGTTTTAGCTTTGTCAGAAAAGACACTCGGCGATAAATTCACGCTTCTTTGATATACAATTTTCTTTAGTCACTATACTTTCTTCTTCTTTCTTATTGTTTTTTATAAATAGCTTTACGTTTTCGGTCCTTCTGCTATTCCACGGTCGCAATTAAATATTTAATCACAGTTTTTTTCAACATTTATAGTAAGTTAATTTTGTAATGGCTTAATCAATTGCGTAACTCGATATTCGACACGATTCTCGCTCAAATTTCATAGCTCTGAAAAAAAAATACTTGAAAGATAATCACATATAACAACAGACGCGTACTTACGGTTATTTTTCCGGAGAATATCGAGATGTTCTTTCAAAAATACAAAAAAGAAAGAAAAAAAGAAAGAGAGAAAGAAAAAAAAAATTGGAGGGTTTTCTTGGTGTGAGTGGGAGAATTGCCCCCTCCGCGGACTGGCCACCCCGGTTGCCCTCTGAAAATGACGCCACAGGGGCCGGGGTCAGTCGTTATAATTTTAAATGCAATCTATGTGCTAACTAACAAATGTCCCTTGCAAAAGTTAGAATAAATCGATTGCTGCGTCGCGTAGTGTACGAAAGGGGTCGAAAATTTGTTATTTTACTGACAATTTAACTACAGCGTTAAATGTTGCCGTTAAGAGTCATCTCTAAAGCTCCGCGAAGTATTTCTCGTAACTTCTGATGACAGAGTGATGACAGTTGAGCTCGAGGATAAAGGATCAGTGATAATTTCCGGATCATTAGGATGCAGAGAGGGGACTGATACACATAAAATAGGTACGTGCTTCTTTCCGCCGCGGAACCTAAGTACGTGACTTGTCCCGTCAAGGACGTGTTAAGATCATGGAAAATTCATGTTGACAGGAAACTAAGATTTTTGCTTTACTAAAGTGGAAAACCTATGAAACTTACTTTTCAATCAATTAAAAATGTCAGCCACGTTATGTTTTTGACGGGGCGATTGAACACACTTTTTCAGCGGCTACGCTGAGTGGCTTTCGACGAGAAATTCGTACGTTTTCCGTACTTCTGCATCAAACTTTCGAAATCTATGCTTTTACAATACATCCGTACTTTTCTCTGTGTGCAAAACGTCTTCATTACTCGAATAAAAATGAACGTTTTCTGGTTTTTCGATAAAAATTAGAATTTTTAAACCTATTAGATGCCCAAGCCGGGTCAAATCGACACGAGGCTTGCTAAAACACACCCCTGCGAGTTCCATGAGGCAGGTAGTAACGTACGAATTTTATAGATAAAGGTCTACAAATACATCTTAGAAAAAGAATTAGACATCAAATTGAGAGAAAAAAAAGAAAATCAAGTGACAGGGAATTTTTTCTGGACAATTAGCCCTAGACATCTTAAGCCGGGTCAAATTTTTCCAACTATCTGCCCTAGGGGAACACAGCCGAAGATAGAAGAATCGCTTTGGGGGCATTGGGGCCTCGTTTTTAACTTTCCTCCCAAATATGAGCGGCATCTCATTGGCATTTGGCACCATAGAGCGGAGTATTGAGAGTTCACGCCTCACGGCATCGCGCCTTCAGGTTCGCGG